CTCTGAAGTGGCCCCCAGACGGCCCAAGAGTACCCCAAGACAGTCTCCGAAGGGACTGGACAGCGCAAGAGCGCCTCCAAGACGCCCAGACGGGGCCCAAAGAGGCCCCCAAGAAGCCTCCCAGAGGCCCCCGAGAGGCCTCCCAGACGCCCCCGCGAGGAGCCAAGAGGCCCCAAAGAGGCCTCCAAGGGGCCCCCAAGACATTCCCAAAGGCCCGACAACGACTGGACTGTACGTGCCCCAGACGTGCACCCCGCGAAGCGAGAAGAATAAACTACGTCCCCTGGATTAGCGATGACCTGATGAACGGGCACGTCTGTGGGTACGGCATCTCTGCGGAGGTCAATCGCAGTAATGTACTCCAAATTCATGACGTCAGCATACAACTTAAGCTGGTGCGAATATCTGGGCTCGATGAAGAGCCAACGCTTTCGGCCATGGACGTGGGTCACCATGGAATTGGCCAAGTCCATGTGTAAGCGCGACGTGGTGCCGCCTGGCCCATAGAAGAGCTGCGCCTGCGGCAGCACGCCTGCGCGGCTGTGGCACTCGCCCACCAACTTCTCCACGGGCACTGCGCCCTGGCAATTGCTGAGGTCGGACAGCGCAGCCATCGAGCGCGCATGCGGCGTGGGCGCCGCGCCGTTGGCAGCCGCATCGTCTACCAGGCGCTGGTATTCAGCAAATGACATGGTCTGCAGCGAGCTCTCGTCGAGCGCGTCCGCGAACGCATTGACGCGGGCTCCGGGCCCTAGGCCTTCCTGCAGCACGCGCCCGGGCTCAGAGCCTGCCGGGCTCAGGCACTCGAGGTTCAATCCGTTCTGGGCGGTCGCCGCGCCGCGGAAGATCACGGGCCCGCTCCACAGGTAGCGCCCCTTGAACTCACTCGGGCCTGGCCAGCCCTGCACCTCCAGGTGTCTCAGATTACTGACGCATATGGGATCGCGAAGTCGCAGTTGGGCGAGGAAGAGCCCTCTTTCTCCTCGGGCGGATGAACAGTTCGAACTCAATCAGGCGTCAGGCGCCTAAGCCGACACGGCAAAGGAGAAGGGACAAAGAGGGGGAAACACAGAGGGGGCTCTGGGGGTATCCAGGAACAGCGGGCCAAACCTTCGTGGACCTGAACCCGCCGCCGTCTAAGATTAAGTTGGCTGGAGCCTCCTTCTCCTCCTCTACCTCCTCCTCCTCCCCTCCTCGTTCTTCTCTCAGCTCCTCCTCCTCCTTCTCTCCTTCCTCCTCCTCGTTCTTCACCTTAGTATGTCCAAGGTCAGACACCTTAGCGCTCTCTCGCTCTCTCTCTCTCTCTCTCTCTCTCTCTCTCTCTCTCTCTCTTTCTCTCTCTCTCTCTCTCTCTCTCTCCCGACCTCCAACGGGAGGCTCCGCGGGGGCGGCTCTTGATAACCGCGTCGAGCGATCTCTCGTCGCAATGCCCAGACTCATCCACCAAACATAAGGTACCACGGGTAGGCACGTCAGGCAGGCGGCGTTTCCTCGAGCGGGGTCGATCTTCGCGAGGGGGTCTGCCGGCATCAATCCCTGGGGAAGCCAGCGCACCTGGGGCCCCAAACAACTCAGCGTGTCCCTGATGACTGCCAAATCGATCGCGTTCCTCCTGTCGGCTCGGGACCCCGCACGGTTTCTCGAGAGAGTGTCGAACGCACTCTTGGCGTCGACAATGCTCAAGGCCGATGCGTCGGCCAGCTCGCACTCGCGCGGGAGCACGACAGAAAGCGGGCCCTGGGACTCGGTCCAGTCAAGCGACTTCACGTCGCCATATAGACCATCCCGCCACATTATCTGGAGCCACTGGGCCTCAACAGCTGCGCATGACGAAACCAGGGACTCGGCAGCTGTCGTGCTGGCCACGGCACGCCTCAGGCGCTGAGAGCGCCATGACAAAAGACTCACCCTGGCTCGTCGATTCTCTCCGACCGAGCTGTCTGCTGCGAAAATCAGCAATCCGCCCTGGGCGCCTCCGCGCCGAACGGACCCTAGGCCTCCAGCATCGGAGGCAGTCGCAGAGGTAGTGGAGACAGGATCAAGAGGCCATACCGTGACGCACTGGGAGCCGACGCTCGGAGGAACTTCGCTACTTCGCTGGCCATCTGCGCATCTTCCACTTTTGGTTCGGGAAAAGCTGAAGCTGACAGGGATGCACTGCCAGCCACATCTGGTCTCGATTCCCTCCCAAGCCATTGAATCTGAGCAACCGTCATCCGGTAGAACGAGATCTCCGAGGGAGTGAGAAGGGAAGCGATCTGAACTCGACGCTGCTTGTCCAGGGCAATCGGGCGCAGCTGCTCGCAGACGTACTTTTCTTGGTATACCAAGATGTTCCGCCCCGCCACCTGTCGCACTTGCCTGTCTGCCTGCGTAGTCAGCCTTGCCTTACCGAACCTAAATTTATCCGTGAGACGCTTCTTCAAATCTGGAAGCACCTTAGCATCGCATGGCACAATGAGGTCATCGACCTCGATCAAAATCAGAGACCGCAGCCGGCCGCTCTCGAAGCGCTGCAGCCGCAAACATGGCTCTAGAAGCGATCGCTTGAAATTCAAGTCCGATAAGAAGTCTGCGAGCGTTCTGGGCCAAAACAATGGTGCGTCATTCAGTCCGTAGACGCGCGCGACCAGCTCGATGAGCCGTTCTCCGGACAAACCCAGGCCGGCGCAGGCCTCCACGAAAACGGCCCCCCGGGGCCTTTGCAGCCGATTGCTTTGGCAGAACGCGATTACAGTATCCGGGATCCCCAGGGCCCATCCCATCGAAGCCACCAGCTGGAGACAAAGCATTATGCTCTCCGACTGCGGGGTCGGGGCACGCACTCGCAACGCTTCGCCGCCCGGGTCCTGGCGGCCTCGAACGCACCACCGGCCTTTGGCCACTGGAACGGCCCCTACCCCTTCACTAGGCTTAAAACGTGTCACCATTCTCGAAGAAAGAATTCTGTCGGGTTGACGTCGCCAGACCAGACGCGACTCTTCAACTGTCAGGACTCGGGCCGCTCCCGAGGCCGCCACGGCGACCCATTCCCTCGCATCAGATGCTGCAAACGGCTCTCTCCTCCGAAGAAAGGCTCTTCAACTGCACTTCCGCCCCTCGCCGAGGGACGCTCTGGGAGGCAACCCCAGCCATCCCACAAAAACAATCCTCGAAGTCAAGGAGAAAGTTAGCCTGCCCGTCTCCGCGCTAGAGACTGAACAGGGTGTCGCGGCCGACGCCCTTGGCCACAAGCTCCTCGCAGAACGCTCTGTCCTGCTCGAGACCCCCCTTCCCCCCGGAGTCCTCTTGCTCGAATAAAGCCCACATTATTCTTCCGGACATGGCATCTCGGACCATCGTTGGCCTAGCACCTGCGGGAATGTTCCCAGACGTCTGGGGCGCAAGCGGAGCAGCCGGAGAGCGGACCCTTGTCCGCGCTTCTCCGCTGCTCGAGGCTGCCTCGGCAGCCGAACCCCTATCTCGGTCGGCGGCGGCCAAGCTGGATCCGGCCTCCGCGGCGGCCGAACCCGACTGCCTCGCGCCCTCGCGCTCGGCAATCATACGGGCCACGTCGACCCTGCCGAGGTCCTCGGCCCTCGTCAGATGCCTGGTGGCTGGCTGGACCTCGCCCAGCCGGGACCTCCCTGGGGTTGCTCGGATCGCGTGTTTCGATCCAAGCACGTTGGATCAAAAACATGGTCTGGATCAAAATCCAGCGTGCGCAGTGGCTTGGATCAAAAAACATGGTTTGGATCAAAAAACATGGTTTGGATCAAAAAACATGGTTTGGATCAAAAAACAATGGTTTGTGAAACATAATGCATGCTTTACGTACGCATGCATATAATTATACACATATGTGTATATATAATATACATATATGTGTGTATATGTGTGTATGTATATATATATATATATATATATATGTATGTGTATATTTACATGTGTGTATGTACATATGTACGTATATACGTATATACAAACCAATATAACTACGCACGTATATATATATTTATATATATTAATGAGACCGTATTCTTCCAGCGGAGAACGTCTGCTACTATCTGACAGGGTTATAACACACAGCTGGGACGACGTGAGATCGTTAGAATCACACGTCCAAGGCATTCTGCAAAGTATAATGGAAGTATGGGATGGGAGAACATTGTTCGAAAGGGTGGGTGCCTTTGACGCTTGAGCCCGAGCGGTTGCGATGAGCAACGCGACCAAGCCTGGACACGACACCCGAAAAACCTTTCTCATCATTCCCGCGCACGCACTAACATAATGAGACCGTATTTTTCCAGCGGAGAATGTCTGCTACTATCTGACAGGGTTATAACACACAGCTGGGACGACGTGAGATCGTTAGAATCACACGTCCAAGGCATTCCAAACATCCCGAATAGAAAAGGGTTCACGGGGGCGAAGGAGGGGAAGAGAGGAGGGGAAAAACGAAAACCAACAAGGCATGAGCCTCATTGGGCCTTGGTACGAGCGGGGCCGCCCGAGTTGTACGAGCAGGAAGCGCGCTTCTTAGCGGCAAGAGATTTAGCCAGAGCAGTGGCAAGGCGAGAGGGGTAGGGCTGAGCAATTGAGGTCCACAAAACATTCTGATCATTGCGGCCACTCAGCTCGATGTGACGGCGGAAAGTGCGAGAGCACCTACCTGCTTTTCCAGTGCACACTCTGTCCAGTGAGCAACTGTCCTCAGGATACATATTGCCACAAACTAGCCATGTCCTCTTTCGCCACGGCGTACCCCACTGGCAGAAATCTGTAAGTCGCCATTCAGCATGCGCCCGGCTGCACACAGACAATATCTCTGGGATGAACCACAGGCGGGAAGTAGACGGATTTTCAAGTATCCACGGAATTTTGTGGCGATTGAGGTGTCTGAGAATGCGAATCACGGCCCGAATTATCTTGTTACCAGTCTCGAGTGAGGCTCGGTCCCGATCTGTGGCATCAGTCAGGTCAGTCCCCATGGTTGAGTGCGTGAGCGTATCTGAAAAGTCCTGTCTCCAGCGATGGTCAGCGAGGTGCAGGGGAGAGCGATCATGGCGGCGAAGATCTTGCCGTCACGGATGTCCGAAAACAGTAGGCGGAGCACCGCTGGGTCTGTGAGGTCATGGTTGGGCCCGTGGATGATGTCCCAGGCCTTAGCTGAGAACCCCAGCCGAGTGACCGCTCGACCAACTTTGCCTGAGCCAGAGAACAGGTCGGCCATGTAGGCGCCGTCCTTAACTAGCCGCGGACGGGCGGTGGCCTTGGAGCAAGCTCGGGCGACCAAAGGAACTCGACGAACTGGTCCTTGCACAAAAACACGTGTGCTGGCATCTCGGCAGCGAGCTCGTTCCAGAAGCTTCCGAGGCGGGCGCTCTTGTAGCGTGTGAGACTCTTCCAGCGCTTCCACCTTCCGAGCCTCTGACTCCCCTCCTGGCTGCGATCTGGCTTGAGGCGATCTATCCACGTCCACGAATGTCTCATCAGGCACGGTACAAGGTGCAACAAGCCCAACATCTCGGCGACAGTCTTCAACTTCGCCCAGAAGGTGAAACAATCGAAGGACGACAGCGGGCCGCCCTTCTCCTTCAAGGCCTGGAGGAAAACGTGACCCCACGGCAGCATGTGGGCCGAGACGATGATCAGCGAATCGTCCGCATCGCCGACCTGGCTCCTCTTTTCCCTCTCTGAAGGATGCAAAAGGAGGCTCCAGTACTGCGACACCAGCGATCCCGGGGCCACCAGGTTGGCCGAGGTAAGGTTGAGGAGCCCTGGCCTGAGGTAGCAGCTGACTCCGTTCATCACGGCGACACCCATGACAAGCTCGTCCCGCCTCGCGAACTCCACCGCGACGGTCCACCGAACCAGCAGGAGAGCGGGCGTCTTGCCGTCGAGACTCCTCTCCATCTCGTCGGCCGTAGTAGTGCCATCGCTGTCCACGTCGGCGGCCGCGGCGGTGGCAGCGGCCGTGACTGCTACTGTAGCCCAGGCGGGCCTTTTGGCTGCCAGAGTCACCAGGGACCCTCTGGTTGGGGGCACCTTCCCAGTATCCAGCATCGAGCGTGTCTCCGGTCGCAGCCAAGTAGGCGTCGTCGTTAGCCCCGTGGTCGCTGAAGGCGGACAGGAAGTCGTCATCGGACGCGCTCCGACCGTCGTGAGCTAGCTCCTCTGGCCAGCGATGGTTTGGCTCGGCGCCTCCAGGCTGCGGGTCCGCATCATGGCAGTCGTGGAATACGGTGCAGGCAAAAGAATCTGGGTTCTCGAGCGATTCGGGAACTTGAGCCGGCACGTCGACGGACCGAGGTGGATCCGCAGGCTGAGGCAGGACGTCTCCGGGTCCGTGTCCGTCAGCCACCAGGCGAGTGAGATCCTTCGTGGAGTCGTAGTTGGGGTCGTAGATACGGGAACCGGCGTCGCTACTGTTGAGCTCTGAGGGATGCCACCTGAACCCAAATCGAGCCCCCCGGCCCAACGCGTAGGCCGCGATTCGTCTGATCTGCACCAAAAGCCCGAAGCTGCGGGCCCGAAATCTTTCACAAGCTAATATAACTGACAGATTATCTCCCAATAACAATACTCTGCAGAATCCACCTGGAACGCAATTACAAACTCTTGCGACAGCTTTGACCAGGACGCGGGCCTCGAGAATCAGGATATCCTCGGAGTAGGCCCACTTACCATGCAAAATCAAGCGCCACCGATCCCCGTGGAGGAGGCCCCCAGGAATCTCAGGGAAATCCTCACGCATCTCCCAAGCTCCAGCTTCCCGAACGTCCGAAGGGTCACGCTCTTTCTCATCGTCGACCTGCCAGCGATCGGTGGTGGGTGAGTAGACGAACCCCGCGGCGGCGAGGGCACTGGCCCGAGCCGGCAACCCTCCGAGTCGACGGAAACGAGATCGCTCAAGAATCCTGCCCTGTTTTTTCACCATCGACACTCCGAACTCGGAGCTGGCTATCCCCCAGCCGTACGGGCTGGCGTCCACGGACAGTACTTGCGTGAGCCACGGCCGATCCCACTCAGACCGAAGGAGCGGCATCAGCCCGAGGAAGCACTCGAGCTCCTGACGTGCGGACTCCCACATGTCGCTCTTGGCCCAGTACCGCTCACGGATGAAGTTGTAGACGGTGTACCACACGGACAGGGTCTCCCGGCACATCAAACCAACGAATGTACAGTGGCCAAGCAATACTTCGAGCTCTCGCCCTGCCAGGCGCCGCAACGAGAGGGCCCACCGCAGGCCGAGTCTCACCTTCCAGTAGCGTCGGTGGTTGACGAGGGTCTGGTGTTTCTGGCCATCGAGCGTCACTCCCAGCGCCTCGGCGGTGTCGGAGTCCACCGAGATGTCATGCATGACGAGGCCCGCGGCGTCGAAGGCCGCGATGGTGTCCGCCAGAGCCCCCTTGACGTAGGAGGCATCGAGCGACATGAGCCCAACGTTGTCGACGTATACGTAGTGCCAGGAGGAGGTCGGAGACAGCACGATGGGGGGCCCTCGATCGGTGGCCACGCAACTCGACGCCACCGCGGGGACCCGTTCCACCAGGCCGAGGTTGGCCACCTGAGCGAAATAGAGCGACCACGTCCAGCCCATGGGCAACGCGAGGGCGCATGGCCAGAGGTAATCGTCAGCGCGAGCAGGCACCCCCTCCACCAGCTGCCCGACGATGCCAAACTCCTTGGCCATGCCGCCCGGGTAGCAGAAGTACTTGGAGAGGTGGTTGCCGAACATCATGCGGTGGAAGCAATCCTTCACGTCAGCTTTGCCCAGGAAGATGGGCAATGTGCCGGTCTGCTCCGTGTCGCACTCGATCCGACCAAGCCCTTCGGTCGACAGCAGCTCGACCCCAGGAGGGGTCACGAAACGTTGATTGGAGCGGCGACCGTCGAGCACCATCCTCATGGAGGCGCGCTCCTTCTTCCAGACGAAGAAAACACCCACGAACTCCTTGGGATCGCGGGTGACGCCCACCAAGCCTTTCCGCTTCAGATCCTTCACGAAGGTGGAGTACCGTCGGCGACTATTGGCGAGCAGCGGGTCGGTGTAGATCTTGATTTCGCCATTCGTCACACGGTCAAGCTGGACCTCAGCATCGGCCCTGATCATCTGCTCCTCTGCCTCTACCAGATACTCGAGGGCGCGCCCCGTGACCAAGGTTCCCACGGCCGGGGCCGTCGAGACGTCACAAGGAAGAGAAACCGCGCCCCGTTGGTAGGGTGCCAGGGTAGTGTAGGCCGTCTCGGTGTCGTAGACCCCGCGGCCTCGAAGTAGCCCCTGAAAGGCCTCCTTCGGAGAAAGGTCGGAGGGTGGGTCCAGATACGTCTGGACCCCCTGGGCGACTCGCACCAGCACCTCACGTTGAAGTTGAAAACGGTATGGATGGACGTCGCCGCGAGCCCGTCGGGCGACCTCACGATGACCAGCACCCCACAACCAATTTAATGAGCGCACACACTCCCGCCAATCCCTCACGAACCGGCGCTGGGCACGCCCCTGAAGGTGGATCCAGAAATCCGCGACGAGGCTGGAGTCGTCGGGCAAAGGGAAGATCTCCGCGGATCCGCGCGCAAGCCCAGGAAGGCGAACGGCGGGGGTTGGGCCAGTCCCACCGCCGAGGGCCACATCACTCATTGAGTCTCCGCCGCGGCAGCGGCGCCTTCGCCTCCCCTCGGGGCTCCACGGCCCGATCCTTTGGAGGGCTGGCCCGCCACGGCGGCGACAGGTGTACTGCGTCCAGCGACAGGGGGTCCGCCAGCAGCGGCGGCGTCGGCAGAGATCAAAAGGATGCGGGCCTGCACCCGCATGGACTCGACCTCGGCCTCGTCCACGGCCGTCATGGCCACGTAGTGCTCCAGCTCGGGCGCGACCATGACCACCGCAAAACCCACGCTGGAGTGAAGCCCTGCGCTGGCCCACTGCGGCCAAGAGGAGTCGCCCGAGTACACGTCCACACTACTCTGGAGGCGGCGCGCTATGCACTCGAAGATGAACAGCGACGGCTTGTTGAGCTGGTCGTAGGAGCCCCCCTCGTAGATGACCTCGTAGGGGACGGAGCTCTCGTATATGACCTGCTCGTGCGGCCAGAGAATCTTCGAGCGAGACCAGAGGTCAAGGCACCTCCTGACGATGTCGCCATGCCGATCAGAGTGACTGGGATAAAACATCGAGCAGAGGCTGTCGGCCCACACAGTGGGGTAGCTCTCCATGACCTCATTACGCCATGACTTGAGCGGGTCGTTCATGGCGTCAGTGTCCTCCCACGAAGTGCGAACATCGCTCGGCTCGGCGGCGTCTGCAGGGGCGGTCGGCTCGGATCCATCGCCGTGGGAAGGCGCGCGGCTCGGCACGATCTCAACACGCCGCCCGAAGCAGATGGGCGCGCCGCCGACGTAGTGAACCGCCACCTCGTAGGCCGAGGTCTTCATGGTCGCGTAGTCGGCCACGTTGGTCCCAGAAGCGCTCCGCATCAGCATTGTCTCGCCGTCGATGTCGGCGGCGCTGCGGTCACCCAGCCCGATCATGACGTATGCGTGCAGCACAGGGATTCCCAACTCCCCGATCCGACCAGGTTTGCTGGCCAGCCAGCGATGACGCTCGCCGTCGGCGGCCAGCATGCTGCCGCCCGCGTACCCGGCGCCGCCAGGTGACTCGGCGGCTCCCGCACCCGCGTCGGCGACAGGTGGGTTGCTATCCTTGCCGGCGAGCCTCACCTGCTCGCCCTGGGGACGGCGGCGACGGGGCGAGCGCTGGCGGCCATCCACCGACAGGCAGTGTGACGGGCCTGCTGGCGCGTGGCGATCGGGCTCAGACTCCTGCAAGGGCGCCACCTCGATGCGGGCCTCCACGATCAGCCCGTGCAATACGCCGTCCGCCAGGAACATTGCGAGCGGCACAACCTCCGCCACGTAGTACGGCAGAGACCTCGACGACTGACCCGTCGTCAGAGGGTACACCTTGTCCCCGTCCTTCTCCTTTCTCCACCTACATGTCGCCGCCGCCCGTGTACACGATCCAGGGACAAACGTCACATGCCCACATGATGACGCGCTCGTGCCTGAACCCGAGATCAGGGGCGAGCGACGCGAGCAGCTGCGTCCCCGACTGCCAGTCTTGCTCCGCTGCGGATCGCCCGGAGCTGCGCCGAGTCGGGCCACGCAGCACAGCGGCTCAAGTACAGCACGAAGAGCTCCTCGAGGTCCCCGAACCCCAGGCGCCCGGCGAGAGCGAGGTCGGCCGAGACCGCGAGGCGTCCCACGCACGGCCAGAGGACCTCGAACGCCGCGGCACAGTCGGGCGCGAGCCGCACCGAGGGACCCAGCGAGGGCAGGCCCGGCGGCTCGGGCGCCACTGACGACGGGCAGGTGCCAGCAGGAGCAGTCCCACAGCGGAGGCTCCGAACCCCAGCCGACGACCGCCGCGCGGCCTGGGGCTGCCAGCGCGGAGCGCCCAGCAGCGAAGCCGACCACCCAGTCCGAGAGCGAGGGGGCTATCGCGGCAATCCAGGTGAAGAGTACTGCCTGGGATGGTGTGACGGCCATCGAGCGAGAACCCGTGCCTTTGACGCTTGAGCCCGAGCGGTTGCGATGAGCAACGCGAGGGGCCAAGCCTGGACACGACGCCCGAAAAACCTTTCTCATCATTCCCGCGCACGCACTAACAATATATATATATATATACACCCATAGGTCTGTGCAATCATATTTCAAGCGCACCATGTAGATATGCATATATATATGTTGAATATATATATATATATTATATATATATATATATATATTATATATATATATATATATTATCGATATATATAGATCTATCGCGGGCCCCTCTTGGCGGCGGCGGGGCGGGCAAAGCCCTGCAGGGGCGGCGGGGCGGGCAAAACCCTAGCCAAGTCGGTGGCCCGTGGCCCGCGGCCCCCTCGTAGCGGCGGCGGGGCGGCGGGGCGGGCGCAGCCCTGCAGGGGCGGCGGGGTGGGCAAAGCCCTAGCCAAATCGGTTCCCCGTGGCCCGCGGCTCGTTTGCGGCGCTGGCGGGGCGGCGGGGCGGGCGAAGCCCTGCGGGGGCGGCGGGGCGGGCAAAGCCCCAGCCAAGTCGGTCGCTCGCGGCCCGCGGCTCGTTCGTTGCAGTGGCGGGGCGGCGGGGCGGGCGAAGCCCTAGCAAAGTCGGTCGCTCGTGGCCCGCGGCTCGTTCGTAGCAGTGGCGGGGCGGCGGGGTGGGCGAAGCCCTGGCGATTGCCCGCGCTTCCTGGCCCCTCGCGGGGGTCGGCGGGCCCGGCGAAGCCAATTTACTATATCCTTCCGCTTTGGGGGGGCGAAGCCCTAGCGAAGTCGGTCGCTTGTGGCCCGTGGCTCGTTGCAGTGACGGGGCGGCCGGGTGAAGCCCTAGCGATGGCCCGCAGCCCGCGGCCCCTCGCGGGGGTCGGCGGGCCTGGCGAAGCCGACTGAATATAATATTAAGTTTTTCTGTGCTCATTCCCTCCTCGAGCCCACCCGTTTTGAAGACAAGATTCCTGGGGCTGGGAACTGCGGAATTGCCATGGGTGCCTGGGAGGTCCAGCGGAGCGCGGTCTTCGAGGCACCACATTCTGATTCGCAACAGTCGCCATTTTCACGCGGCATCGGAGGCATGTGTGATCGCGCCCCCTCCCAGAGAAGTCATGCCAGAAGATTTGTCTCGACCTCCCGTGGAGGACAAGAATTGCCACTGGCCTGCAGACTGGGAGGAGGAGGGGGCCATCGGGTCAACGGCAGGTCAGCGCGCGCGCGTTGACCCCCAACGTCTGCACGTTGACCATTATTTGATTGGAGGCCTGATAGTTGGAGAGGAGGAAAAAGAAGAGGAGGAGGAGGGGGAGGAGGTCATCGGGTCAACGGCAGGTCAACGCACGCGCATTGACCCCCATCGCCGGGCACACGGACGACGGTGAATATTTCAGACGCTGACGAGGGAAGAGGAGGATACAGGAGGGGGGAGGAGGGAAGTCTGAGGGAGAATGAAAAAGTGAAACCTCAGACGTCGGCGCCGCTGTCCTCGACGTCGATGGCCGCCTCCATGAAGGGGGCGCTGTCATCGACGTCGATGGCCGCACCCCACTCCGATGGCTGCACCGCGATGCCCTCGCCGAGGACCCCGCGCCTCCACCGACGTCGCGTGCCCCTCGTCGCCGCTGTCGCCCGCGCCGCGTGCTCCTCGTCGCCCCTGTCGTCCGTTAGCAAGGCCTCGTCGTTGGCCGCTGCATCGGCGTGCTCTGCGGCGTCGCGCTCTGCAGAGCGCGACGCAAGGCCGCCTGCTGCGCTGTTGCCCTCGTCACTCTTGGCCGCCTGCTCTGCGTCGCCCTCGACATTGGCCGCTGCATCGGCCTGCTCTGCGCGTGCTCGATCGCGTCGTCCGCCTGCTCTGCGTCGCCCTCGACGTGCATGGCCGCCTGCTCTGCGTCGCGCTCGATCGCGTCGTCCGCCTGGTCGCCCTTGACATGCATGGCTGCCTGCTCTGCGTCGTGCTCGATCGCGTCGTCCGCCTGCACTGCGTCGCGCTCGATCGCGTCGTCCGCCACCATGGTGGCGATCGAGCGTCGGAGTGCATCGCCCTCGATGTCGGCCGCCTGCTCGTCACGATCATGAGCAGGGCTGAGCGATCGAGTCGAGGGTTCTCGAGAAGATCGGCCGCGTGCTGCTTGCCTCTGGCGGTAGCGGTACTGCCAGACGGGGGCGGTCAACCATTCTACTCCGTCGCCGTCGTCGGTGATCCACGCATATGTCCAGCACTGCAATAAGGGATTGAACACTGGATCGTATCGCTCCTCCCTCAGGTCGTAAAAGAGCGGATACATGTGCACGCGCCTGAGCCAAAGCTTAAGTTGTCCGAGCCGAAATGCCTACGGATGGCCACCGGGTAAGGACGCAAGCCCTTGGATGTCCAAGATGACGTTTTATCAAAATGTTAAGATTTATCTCTGGTAGACCAAAGGATCCTGCCAGAGTGCCAGAGGCAAGGATGCTGTATTGTTTTCTGTGTTCGGGGCAAGGGTGCAAGAGTGCCCAGGGGATCTGCCTAGTGCCTCGATCGTGCCGCGGTTGGATCTCAAGTATCCCAAGCCACAAAAATCAATACATATGGCAAAACATCAAAGCATATTCAGAGAAAACAATACATCTCGCTCAATATCAACGCGTTTGAAAAATACCAGAACCATCACTCAATATCATTACGTTTGAGGCGACTTGATAAAATCAAGACTTTGGATGTCTGGGCCCATGCCCCTCCGCTCTTCGTGGGCTGCGAAACCTGCGGCACTGCAGTTCCGAGGGGGGGGGGGCAGGCTCTCCTCTCCATGTTTTGTGAGAACCCCGTGCGCTACGAGGTCTGACCCATTGACCCCCGCAGTGACCTCCGTCCAAACCTCCTGATCACACGGGCGCTACGAGGTCATCGCACCTGCGTTGACCACCCATTGACCCATTGACCCCCTCAGCGACTTCTGTCCAAACCTTCCAAGCACCTGGGGACTACGAGGTCATCGCACGTGCGTTGACCACCCATTGACCCATTGACCCCCTCGTCCGTTCCCGCCCATATTCGTACTTCCGTCGTCTTGTCCGCCCGTCCGCCCTTCTCCTCCTTCCTCTTCTGACTCCCCCGCCATCTCCTTGTCCTCAACCATCGTACTCGCCCCCTCCCTCGCCACCCTCTCCATCCTATTGGTTTCCGCATGCATCCCGAAAACGTCGCAACGATTTTGGTCGCGGATTACCCGCGATCCCACGAGCGGCGCCCACGGAATTTAAACCCCGCGAGTGTAGCGTCAACAATGGCGCGCGCAAACATAGTAGGATACACTTGCGAAGCACGCGTCTGCTTCACTTTCCCAGAAATATGGCCACGCTTGCATGTCCTAGTAAGGGGGATGTAAGAACACCCATTTCTCCTGATCTTCTTAATTAGAAATTGCTGGCAGATATGCAGAGGTATCGATGCGAACACTTCCACTGGTTTGCAGCTCGTGCCGCCGAATTGGCCGAGAGATGTGGGGAAACGATGGGCTTTCGCCGTGATGAAGGCGTCTGCCAACCATGGCGTCTTGAACAGCAAGCTAGTCATTGGTTGCTCCACTGCGAAATAAACTGATCGCAGCGTGCACACGTTAAGCAGCCATGCCATCACCAGTGAACTCTTGTTGGCAGACTCAGCCTTGCGTTTCGTACCATTGCCCAAAACAGAATGGCCAGCCGCGCAGCGTTGATAGGTAGCTCTGCACAGAAATGACAGCCAAGTTTTGCATTCTGGGCTGGCCCAGACCACGCCCTTTGGCGCCATCATGTGCACATAGTATGCTGCCAGCAACGCCCCCCTCAGAGTATTAATGTTCTGGTGGTGGTGATTAATCACATCAAACGTGTAGGCGAACATCACCGTCTCGTAATTACAGATGCGCGCGGCCTTGGCCTCGCCACCAAACAAGAGCAGGAGGTCCAGGTTTCGAATGATATCCCACGAGCTAGCCTGCGGAAGTGCATGCCAAAAGAGAGAGGGAGAGAGAGAGAGAGAGGGAGATAAAGAGAGTTCCATGCCAATCTTATGTTGTTCCCGATTTCCCCTTTAAGGGACAAGGTGAAGCAACGTGAGATTGACATGGAAGTCTGCGGTGGGGGCGCCCGTGTTCTGGGAGCATCCAGGACAAGGGAAGGGACCAGAACAGCGTTTATCACCGCGCTCGACCTCGTTCGCTACCACAGCAACCAGAGTGCCCGCATCAAATGCATCAGGGTCGTCTGCAGCATTATCAGGGAGCCCATGCGCGTCACATATCCTCTGGCAAACGTCGTTCAGCCACGAGGGGGCGGCTAAGTTGTGAGGCTTGGGCGGCATCAGTAAAACTTGGGAGAGTAAAGCCTGCGGTCCAAGCCTAGATTAGCTATGATGTTCAACTGTTTGAAAATCCGATACTCGAACTTCTGCTGGTGCGCGTGTTCTGCCACAGTGCGAACTGCCAAATTGATGCTTTCGTCAGTCCACACCGCGTGCAAAACTGGATTTCCTTGGTATCTGATCCTGCCGCGGGAACTCTTTGCCCCTCCTTTTTCTCGTCCTCCATGTCCTCATCCACCTCCTCCACCACCTCCACCTGGCTGTTGTTCGCTCCCCCTCCTCCACCTGCTATGCTGTTTGCCTCTTTCCCCTCTCCACACCCCGCCCGCGCACATTCACCGTCCCCGCCTCCACCTCTACCGAAGGGGTGGGGCTGGGCAAGTATTTGGCACCCCCCTTGCCTTTGAACTAAATGCGCGGCGAAATGAAACTTCGGAACCTCGTGGACGCCAGCCTGCTTGGCCCTCAACAAGCACGTGTGCGCATCAAATCATAAAGCTGAGGTGCGGCAGGGTCGGGGACAACTGCAGGGTGTCTTTTCAAGGAGCTGTAGAATTCCCACAGGGCGGCCGCTGAACCCATCAAATGCTCGCCTTCAGGAATGATGTGTGTATGTGTCCCCCACGTGAATAGCAAACTGCAGAGCGATCAACGACTCGTGGGCCTTCAACCTC